CTAGAACATAAATTTGTGAGTTAGTTGACTTAATTCTTTCTTCCCCCTCTTCTCACCCAATTTAAGTGTAGAAATTGGTAATTTTTTAGGAGTTACCATCTATTTCTACTACAATAAAACCCCATTGAAGTTTATTCTTCCCGTGTTACCCTTTTTTCAAGGTAGTCAAACCATAAATCATAATCTATTCCTTTATTCAACTCATAAAGGACCTTGTTCATGAAAACTTGTAAGTGTTTGCTGTTAAGTTGACTCATGTTAGCACAATATTATAGCATATATTGCAAATCTGTAAGTAACATTTTGTTGACATTATTGTCCAATCATACAGAAAATAAATGTGTATAAATCTGAGTGTGTTCAATATAAATGGAAATTTTAGAGTAATTGAATAAACTATGCTTTGATTATGTCAAAGGTTCAGAGTGTCTAAACTAAGTCTTTTAATATTTTCATTGAGTTTACAACCAGTGTAAGGTAAGGGACTTTGTTTGTATAAATCTCAGTGAGGAGATCTGTGTGTAGTCTAAAATCTTCATGCTGGTAATCGGAAACCATCAGCAATAACCAGCTCAAAGCCTGGGGTGGGCAGCACTTTCCTTTACTACAAAGTACCAACATGAAGGTAAAACATTGACTCTACCCTACACAAGATATGCTTGCTGAATGAATGTATGGAAAGTAAGGAAGAGTCTGTTGATTTCACAAAATATCCTCAGAGTGACGTTTTCACAAGTATCATACTAAATTCCTTATGTTGAATGGCATTTATGATCATCAAAAAGCGATCAAACTGAAATGGTCAAAACACAAATTTACAAACTATAACGAAAAAAGTTGGTAAAATATGAGAGTAAGGTTTGCGACCATATCAAAAGAAAAGCTTTGCCTATCGTCTAATCATTTAATTAAGCCTTATCGGGCGAAGTAAGTACTTGGATGGGTGACCGCCAGGGAATACTTCGTGTTGTAGACTTTTACATTATGAAGATATGATCCGACATAATATCATTATTTTCTTTCTTAGCGAAAAGCCTTGCGTGCTAAATAAATGGTGAGCTAGGTTTAAATTTTGTATCCATCGTTTTCGACGAAAACATAAATCGACTTGGTCAAAAACACGGAATACAGAATTCAATGTTTCACACTTTCAAGGCAATACAAGCATCCACCTATAGTCCGGCGGATTTGTGACAGAATTGTGGGTTTTGGGTTAAAAACGCCAAACTTGGCCCATTTGTAAATTTTGGCATACTGAATTAAACTGGCTATGGACCTTAGCGTGATTGTGCCTCTTTAAGCAGTGTAAAACTCTTCCTAAATTTTGACATCATATGACGTCACTAAATAATTTTCAAAATCGTTTTAAGATTTAAAAGCATTAAATTTTGTTCAGTTGTAATTTTGACATGCTAAACAAAACTATCGGTGTGATTGTATACTACACTGTTTTGACAACAGTGAAGATCGCTACTTTGCTTATGCATTACATAACGTCACTAAACGATTTCATTCTTGTTATTCGTCTAATGCTAAGACGTATTCACTGCATAAAGTGCAAAAAATATTGGTGAGTTATTTTAACACAACGTGAAAACATTTGGAAGCTTTCGGGAGAGTGGTCCACAAAGTTGCACATTATAAAGGTGGTGAATGTTCTGTTGATGCACCCCAAACATAGCCAGCTTTGTATACAGTTCTCTTAATAAGTGTAACAGAGAATATTTTGTGGGTGGAATACATTTGACAGATCTACCTTTCCGGGTGAATAGATCTTTGCGGGGTTTGGTAATGGTCGTGTCGAGCTTGTGCGATCGTGCATTAATATAACAAAACGCTTAATTTGCGGAAGTGCAATTTCGACAGCATGAGGAGAAGGGCGTATGCTCATTAGTTTAAACAAAGTAGAAAAATCGAAATTCGAAAAGTCTCCCAGGTATTTTTTGCCTTTCCTTGCAAATGTCGATTTTTGCTCGCATCCAGTAAGCGCGTGAAAGTATGACAATCCTGTCGAACAATCAGGACCCATACGTAGTGAAATTTCATGGATTGGTAGATAACGCGTATGTTTTCCAGCGCCAAACACCACCCAAAACTCGCCTAATTGGAGTTCTGGAAAGAATGCCTCACAAATGACAACAGCATTCGTGTCTACTGTCCTGATTAAGATGACGGAATGCACTGCAGCATCAGCTGCCTGGTGTCGGTCTTTTCATGTCTACACGGTGATAAAGTTGAAAGATCACAAGCACCATTGCCAAATACTTCTTTGTCCTTAGTTACTTCTTGTCTTTCTACAGCAGTTACCCGCACCACTTCATCTGATAGGTAACTGAATAGCTCTGCTTTAATATTTTTATCACGAAGAAAAGCTGCCCACTTTAGGGATTCTAGTGTCAAGTTGCACTCGCCGTTGAATGCCTTCCCCCTTTTTCTCTGGTTGACGTTTTTAGGCTGTGTTGAATGTAATGATCCCAAATTACGTCTACTCCTCGGGAACTTTAAAGCTGGTATTTTACATAAGGAACAAAAATCTGGCTGCAGTATTCTTGGAAAGTGTTAGAAGCACAATGTGGAAGCATGTTGACAATTGCAGCATCATCAATCATGACAGTCTGTGCATGTGGAAATTCAATTTAATAATTTGGTTCTACTGAACTTTCTAGACATGTCAGCAAGTGTGATTTTTTCGGTGACCTCAGTTTTCCGAAGTGCGAGAGAGATAGAGGAAATCCTTGATTTTTATAATTATATTAACATAATTCATTTCTTTTGATATCTATGTTTTTACAGTGAATGAACACAGAAAAATTAACATAGCAGGTCCTAATTTTCGGGCTGGCTACGCCACTGGTTCTCAAGAAATGACCTTACAAACACTATCATTGCAAGTTCGTAATCCAGTGTTAATGAGTAATAATGAAACTGTGGGACATATTTCGTCGGTTTCGTTTAGCATATCAAAATCTGCCGGTGTGCCAAGATTGATAGTAACTCAAAACATGCAGTTTTGATGATTAACTACTGACGCAACGTTTTATAAACAGCGGTTTTTACTCTTCACACGTACAATCACACACTTATATCTACAGTCTGTTTTGTTTTGAAAATCAAAATCTACAACTATATTTTGTTTTGTGCTTTAAAGCTTAAAACAACAATTTTGGAAATTTTTTTAGTGACGTCACTGTACGTCATAATTAGTGTTTTAATCATCATTACGCGTTTTTATGTTTACAGGCGCAATCACGCTGGGGTCTATAGCCAGTTTTTTTCAGCATGTCAAAATCTACAAATGTGCCAAATTTGGTACTTTTAACCAAAAACCCACAATGCTTCCAAAAAAAGGTACAAATCCGCCGGACTACTATGTATATTGTATCGTAAAGTTTTACAATATTCTAAATAAATACAAGAGGATTTATTTCTATTTGGCTTGATTCCACACTGTGACACGTACTTTTTAAATGCTTGTTTGGCATGTAAAATAAGACAACCGTCTAACCGTCACTTTCCACACAAATGCACAATGAGTTTAAAATCTTTCCCTTTTCATCTGTTTTTCACAATAGAATGTAAAATATAATCATTTTTATATCATGAAGACCTCTCTCTCCAATGGCTCCTGTCCAGCATAGCCACCAGTGAAGTGTAAATATTGACCATGGTATTGACACTTCTCATCTTCTGGCTCAATATGGAGACTGGGCACACGTGTTATTGTCGGACGTTAAGAATAGCTATAGTAACTAAAAACAAATGAAAATTATCAAACATGAAAAGGAAAGAGGAAAAAAGTACTGAGGAAATTGGAAACAAATTAAAACCTGCCATGTAAATATATTGAGTTTTTGAAATCATCTTCTTATGCACAAATTAGAAATCATCAAACATTTGTCACAAAAACGTTATCTACAAATTTACTGGCTAGTCACTAAGATCATTTCATCAGTTGTTTCACATATTATGCAAAATCAAAATATTCTTTTATTAACAGTCTTTCTTGAAAAAGGTAAACCTACAGAAATGGTTTCAGTATATCGTTGCTGATTTATAAGAGGAAGAACTACTTCCCATTTTAGTGAAAGTACTGATATATTTTTTACTAAAACTTAAAGTAAAAGTAACTCCTCAATTTATATACTTAAGTAGAAGTAAAAACAATGCCTGATAATTTTTCTCAACATTTATTCATTTTGTCTCATCTGTAAGGTGTCCACTCCAACCTTTTTTGTGGAAGAGAGTTTCAGACTGTATCTTAAATTGTTCGTATAGTCGTGTTTGGGGTTTTACTATTTATTGCTTGAAATTTTAAAAAATCCTTACAACAAGCAAAGCATGCACCCAAACAAAAACAAAAATATTTGTTTTGTACAATAATCCTTATCCACAGTCATCCAAAACAAGAAAGAAAAGTTTGCTGAGAATGAATAATACCTGTCATCTATGACATCTAAAACAATATTGTTGTATGAGACATTGGTTTACATTGTTTATTTTGTTTTAACAGCTATATATTATTTCAAATTTCTGATTAATCTCATTTAACTTCTACGTTGTTTTTACCTCGTGCATGCCTTCCTCCAAGTTTTATTTCACAGTTTGCTCTTATAATCATCCAAACCAACATGTCCTTTATACCTGTTGGTTGCAAAAGATATGGCGCTTTAATAAAAACATTTTACTTTTTTTGATTTGTGAGTCGTCATCGAAGCAGTGTTCTTTTCACGGGTTTTATCACCAAAACGTCGATCTGTCATTACTTTAGAAACATTTCATATCCGCACGATTTTGCTACAATCAACAATTTTCTTTGCATTGTTTCTACAGCTTAATATCAACGTTTTGATATGGTCCTATCACTCCTATGTTCACAAATGAACATTAGTAACTTTAAATTCATTAAAAAAAATGAGCAACATCATGGAAACAAATGAGCCATTAACAAAGAAAGTTAACTTTCAAGAAGTTTGCTTGATTAACTAAATTGTTTGACAGTCTTTATTTATAACTTTATTGAAAGCCATCTGTGTACTAAATTTTTAATTAGTCTTAATTTCTTCATCATATAGTTACAGTGTTTTTCTGGTACCATTAACTTAGTGATTGTATAAATTATTTGGTTATGAAAAATGAGAAACGCCGGGTTTTATGACTGATTTATGATCCCATGAATGGCATGTATTTATTTAATATTTTCCAGCTGAACTATTAATATTCTCATTCATATAAAGCCAATTTTATAGACATGGCATGTCTTAGCAAACTCAAGAATATTTCTAACCACTAAGAATTCCTTTTTTAAAAAGATTTATAAAGTTCATAAAATCTTTAAGCTTGGTTAAAATGTCATCTGGCGTCCAGTCAATCTGCGGATTAAGCATCTTTTCCGACCATGAATCCAGGATAAACCTGATTCCAAACTGCAATAAAACAAAAATCTTTACCGAACAAATAAAATTGTAAATAGTTGTTACCATTCGTCTTGCTTCTTTAATGATGTAATTAAAATGACGATCAGTGATTTTGTTTCTATTGAAAACTAATGAAATTTTATTTAGGTAAACTGTCATTTTACAATAGATAAACTGATTAGAACTTTTAATTTCGGTATTTTTCCATATTTTTGGTATACAAAATTTGGAATATTGAAAATCGATGGATTTGATTTAGCTATAATTATCAACTATGTTGATATACTGCAACATCTAGTAATGACTTATAAGCTGTCTTAAATTCCATGTATCTTATTCTTTTATGCTAACTTTATAAAAAAATAAATGTATGAAATGGTCTATAGTATTTAACCGCAATATTGACATCCCTTAATTCTTTTTCAAAAGCAAGAAAAATTGTTCAATGAAAGTAATCACCACGTGATGTCGAAGAACTTTTTTAATCTGGAGTGGCTGAATTAATTATTACATTGTTGCACAATTAGTCATATACTTCAATAATACCTGATTTTTGTCTCTTTTCTTAGATCCATCAGAGTCCCAATCTTTTTGCTCCAATACAATAATAGTAAAACATTCCCCGTCCATTGTTGCTTGATAAAAACTTTCTTTTGCTTCACGATAGAATTGACATTCAAAACCTTCTGGTAATAACATATCATTTGGATCAGGTAAAGACATCATTTGACCATCTCCAGAATTGGGATCATACTTGCATTTTGAAAGATAATCACACAAAGTGTTATCTTCTTCTTTTGCTTTTTCGTCTTCGTCTAAATAACGTGGTCCTGTTGGATAGAAGAAATAGAAATAATTCTTGCTTTGTGCATTAGAGCCCGATCCCCAATGTTACAATACACAAAAACACAAAAATTTTTTAACTGTCAAATGCCCTTGCAAGAGAAACAAGAGAATTTGAATGTAGCATCTAAACAGTTTTGGTTGTGAAATTGTTTTCTAAAGATCATGCACGATTTATCAATGAGGCTTTGTCATTGGCCAGTATGAGGTTTTGCACTTGGATGAATTAAAACTTTTATTCATTTTTCGACAGTAGCGCTTAGCTACTAGACCGAATTATGTCAATAAAATTTCAAAGTGCAAATGATAGTTTATTATATTGATATTATAAGGTTAAACGAAGTACTAAGGACAGAATATGTTTAAGAGATAATAAATGTATGCATAACTTTGAAAAGTAAAATTTATCCTTTATAATAAATGTTTAAAAAATCTTGCTTAATGATGTTTATACCGGCTCTCAATTTTATCCGACAATCATAACTCGAATCTGGTGTCATTATTTCACCCCTAATAACGCTAACGGAAGGTTTACACAGCCAAGCCTTTATGTCTTCATAACGCCAAAGAACGACAGGTCTTAAAATATTTTTCACTTCAGATGGTGGTTCTTCATTTTCGGGATCCCGGCCTTTCCAAGCTTTGAATCGAACGTAACGAGCTTCAAAATGGAAACATCTTTTATGAGCTACAAAACTATAGCTTGAAGGCATGTGCGACAGAAGATTGACAATGGACAGCGGGCCGAATTATATGGTATGATAACATGGAAAGCAGGAGCTTAGCGAAGTAGATATAAAGAGGATATTTACAGATCCTTTTTTTAAGACTATTTTAAATTGACAGTTCCATAAATTACATATTTGACTCGACAAAAATGACAATCCCTTTCGTTGCATAAGTCCTGGCTATGCTTCTGGAAAGTATAATTGAATCTATTTTATACAATTGAACATAACAATTAAACTATACGTGGTTCTCAACTGGTATCATTGTAAATGGTCTTACTGTTTTGTACATTATTGAGTAGAGTTGAGAAAATATCATAAATTTGACACATTTTATGTTTTTCTGTCATTTTAGGAATACTGGATTGCAGGAACAGAATTTGTGTACATGGCACGACAACAAATATACTCTTTCACGACCGGATGTTTCTCTTTTTATGCAATAAGAAATGTCAGAATGTTGCATTTGATTTAACCTGTAAAATTCTGCAATTGAGTTATTTTGTACCCCAAACCTTTCCGGAATGATACTCGTATATAATATTTTCAATTAGAAATAACGCTTGATTGATTGCGTTGCCGCGAATTGGCAAATAGCGAAAATATTTCCTGATTTTCTTTGAAAATTTATACTTCTCCTTTTTCCTTATACAACTGATGAGGGCAATTAACAGAAAAATTTCTGCGATAATTTTGACTGAAACATCTGTGGAAGGATCTCTGCAAAACCCTAGTCCCTCGAAAATATTCAATACAGCCTAGGATTTGTTACTTATACAATACCTGATGGAGTAATAAAGGCAAAGTCAAAGCGTAACTGTGTACAAAGCCACTTAAGATTGAAAAGATCTTCGTTCACTTCGTCTTTATTAGGAAACAAAGACCTATCAATTTCTGTTTCATCTACACCTTCCTCAAAAGACACTCGCCACTTCACTTCATTATCAGTAGCAACGGCCATTGTTTTCACAGAAGGCAATCTGTTTTTGATTTCTTTTGTTGTTGTCATGCCTTTTGATGAAATCTCTTCATCTCAAATACAAATCATAATGAGAGATGTATGCAATAAGAGCATAAAAGGCATGAAATAAAGAGGATAGGGAGAAGGATAGGGTGGAAAGAAAAAATGTAGGAAGACTGTTAACAAAAAAGAAATCATAAAAAAATAATCTATATAGCAGTTATTTTAATTTAGAGTTGGAAGTGGAACAATCCAATGTCTATTTGTTGTATTAAGCATGAACTATTTTCGTTTATGTTTGGTTTGGAATTGATTTTGAAGATCAATTAAAAGGTGCAATATAAACAAAATGTAACAATCTAATGTATCGTTCCACAAGCAAGTCTTTGAATATGCTGAATATCATGCACTTCAAAATAGTTCAGTTTACCTTGATCTACATTTGAAACATACACTTTCCCAAGATGACACCATAAATCTACCAACAACAGTTCTTCGCTTTTTTTATCAGCTAACTTCTTCAAAGGAGGTCGAAGCAAGTCTTTCATGTCTTTAATTGTACCATCAGTAGTTACAGGCTGAAGAATGAATGACCTTTAGCACTCAAATGATAAGAGAATATCAATGGCAAAGTCTTATTCGTTTATTTAGTTATTCATCATTATGGTGTGGTAAAATCAATTGAGGGAAGGAAATGAACCTTGAAAGCCAAAAATGCTTGAAATATTCGACACTTCAAATTTCAAAATTATAATAACACCTCATCGCGAACATCATCGGACTGAATTCTGAATCGATTTCCCTTGATGAAACCATCCAATGATGGAGTATTTTTGTCCAAAACGAGAGAAAACTCTTCCTCTTGTTCGTCATTGTTAAAACACACAAAAGGTTTGTTAACTTCGTCACCTCCATATTTACGCCTTAATTCCCTGTCATTACAAGAAATCTGTAAAGTAATACGATGAAACTGTCTGCAACACGGAGTATAAATTTTAAGCGATCGTTGGATAAAAACTTTGTGACAACAAATTTATATTTCAATGAAACTTAATTAATCTTCGAAACATTTGAAAGAGCTTGTCAACAATCACAGTTGTAATATTAATAATTCCAAAAGAAGTTAAAGTTATAGCCATGTTATTCATTATTCGGTAGCTCGCAAGTGTTACACGCAAATAAAAAAATATATACCTGCAACATTCAAACACGAATAAAATAACTTACACGTATAAAAGAAAGTAAACTCTGCGCTATATATATGAAATCAAACAGCGCGGCTGTCTTGAAAGCACATATTTTGATAGCATGCTGTAAAATAGTTAAAGTTTGTAATATCGTCCCAGTGAAGTAGGATGGAGAATTTATAAGAGCATAAAGTCCTGTAGCCCGATATATGATGCAATCCTTTTCATCATCACGTCCAGAGAATCATCAATTCAGGATTTCCCATGTAAATTATTTAAACAAGACTTATTAAGTTAATTGTAGGGCATCCTGAACAGGGCTTTATTCACAAAAATTTGAGTAAAAACATATGAAAATGACAAAAAGAATAAAAAATTTAGAAAAATATGAAATAGCTCTTACTATTTTACATCATGCCATCAAGAACTGCGTTGGCAAGACAGCCGCTGTTCAGTGTTTACAACGTACCATGCTGCCATGCGCGCACAATTTCAATGTGTGTTGGTTGTTTCATTAGTGTGTTTGAACAATTATATTTGCATATTTTTTTATTTGTCAATGTAACTCTTGCGAGCCACAATATTTTATCGCACTGAGCTGTTCTTCAATGTGTTGAAATACTGTGCCCTCACATAGTTAGTTAGCTAATTCTATCTAAAAATTAACTCGACGTTGATAATTTCTATATCAGCAAACAAACTTCTACATCATGCTAAAATGTTCGATATGCGTATCCTCTTGCATTATTTCATTTGCTTTATGCAAGAGTAAATACAAACTTCGCAAGTCGAAATCAATTTGAATATAAAAAATTTGGAAAAAATTTTTACAATGTAGTGAAAAATTCGTACAACAAAATCAAATGCTTCACATGCAGCACCAAATCATTTCTGATTTGCTACGAAAGCTCAAACAAGTTTCTAAAACTCTGTTAAATTAGGTTGTACAGCGGAGCATACAAACAATTAATTTAATGCAGATAGCACATCTATATAAATCGCTTTTACAGTCAAAGCCCTGTTAGTGAAGACCATTTTTCAAGATTAAGAAAGAACTAATCTTTTTCTTGTGAAAAGAATTGGACAATTCATCACTGAATTACACCAAATGGTCAAATTGATGACCCTTTGTTAATGTTCACAAATTTAACTGCTTATTTTAGTCGCCATAGTTAATTTTTTGTGAAATAATTTTACACTCAAGTTTAAGCAAATAAGTTATTTTCTACGAATTCTACATGTTACAATGATGGGCTAACATACTAAAGCAAGTTTCCCCATTTTCAGTGAAAAATGTGTTTGAAAGTAATTAAATAGCTAAAACACCTATTTTTTGACTTAAAAATTTTGCGTCTTTAAAGACGCAAGTCAAAAATTAAAATTCGAATTTAAATTTTGCGTCTTTAAAGACGCAAGTAAATATTTTGCCTGAACAAATTAACATGCAAAGATTGCAAACTTTTGATCTCTCTTAGAGCCCATTCACATAAATGCTTTAAATCGATTCGAAATAGATTCGAGTCCGTATGAGGGCTAATGTGAACATTTGTAAGTGATGCAAAAACGAATTCGATCCGAACTAACTTGGGGCACTTGAGAAGGTGGTCTTGAGTCGGATTAGTTTAGTCTGCATGATAATGTGAACATGCAACACGAATAGAATCGGATCAACCTTGATCAATCACATGTTTTTAGCTTAGTAACCAGACTTTTCGTGCGGTCACACATGGCACGCGTTTCTTTTTGCTGTGTTTGCTTGCAGCAATATTTTACAGTTTTACTTATAAGCAAAATGTAACGCGATGCGACGCCTCGCATTCTTTTGAAAGTATTGCAGCATCTATTTCCGTTTTACCCTCGATCTTTTAGCTGTTTTTTGTGTTCTTTGGTATTCCAGTAAAAGTATGCCGATTGCAGTAACCTCCGCCATTTGTATTCGTTAAATTTTGTTATGGTTTAGGAAAGGCGCCAAAATGCGCCAAAACTTAATGGCAATTATGTGAAGCAAATATAAACATTAATTTACATTAAGTATAGATTCTAAAGTATTTACCCACAATAACCTATAAGTAGACTAAAATACCTGCTAATCCATATCTATCCTTTTGAGTCTCTTATGGTACTGTGTTATCAAGCGAAAAATAATGAAGATAAAACTTTAACTGTGAACACTCGTGTTTTTCATTTTAAAACGAATCGAATCCGAATCAACTAATTAGATTAGCAAACGAATTAAGTGTGAATGGGCCCTAAATGTAAAATTTATAATTTTTTTTAATTTATGTAACTTCTCGTAAAATTTGTTTAACTTACGATTCTCTGCAATATTAGAGATCGGGCACGACAACAATCTTTTCCTTCACCAGTAATCACCAGATCTATACTATGTTCTTTCCTTTTTGCCTGTTCTATGAAAAAATGATCATTTAGTTAAACAATAATAAATATCAAGTTGCAGCATTTTAACAACAAGAACGTTAGCTAAGAGAGGACGGGCTTAGGCATAAATGAATTCAACATGCAACGCCTAAATAAATTAACGAATGAAATAAACACCGGAGAGCGGGCACTTATTAGTTTTTATTCACATAATAGTATTTTTTTCCTATTTATTTCTGTTTACCATGTTTTTGACATTTATTAAACATGTTATAATTTACATGTAATTTATATTTATAATAATTGAAAACGCAACAGACAAAAAACTCTTTTGCATATAATAAAATAGAGACTTTGTCATGGTGACAAATCTGAAAATAGTTCTAAAGATAGCAAATGCTATAGTGAATGGTAAAAGTAATATAACAAGTTGATAGTTTAATTGTAGATAATTTAAGTTGATAATTTAAGTTGATAATATAATAAGTTGATAATTTAATTTAGAACTATTGGGTTAGTGATCTTAAAACAGTTCTTTTATGATCAATCAACTTATTATATTACTTTTACCATTCACTATAGTATTTGCTATCTTTAGAACTATTTTCTTTTACATATAAAAACAGAGAGAGCGTACGAGGGAGATTCAACGTACTAAATGCAAAACAAGGTAAAGTTTGTTTAGGAAAATGTTTGGTGATGATATGAGAGAACTTTGGTGAAAGAAAATCTGATCATGCATTAAATACTGGCAAAGATTCTGTTTGGTGAATATAATGGTATGTCTGGGTTACACTGTGGACAAACGTAAAGCGTTGATACGGAAGAATTGAGGCATGGAGCTAAAACGAACTGATTTTTATTATTGACGTTGAACTATTTATTTGGATATTGACAAATAACTACATATTAGTAAGTTATCAATTCATCGCAAACTTAGTAAAGGAAGCAGGAAGACATAAAGAGAGAATCAGATTCCTAAATCGACTTTGCAACATCAGGTTGTTTACATATTCCACACGCGGAAAATTTTTTAACTAATTTAGGGATGGTACTTTTGAACGATGTCTGTTTTACGATTTCCACTTCAGGATATCGAGAAAAGTCGTCAACTAATACTAACAAATATAGCCACCCGAGGGAGATGGAGTACAGAAATCTACCGAGACAACTTGTCAAAGACTTATGAGCGATACAAACTACTCTTTGTTGTAAGTAGCGTGGAACAACAATTTTTGTTCCACTAAATAGGGTATTACCCACATTTAAAGTCACAAGTACCGGTTTATTCTAGCTAGAGAATTGATATGGCCTCTCCTGACTTAACAGTTAACATCTTAACACAATCCAGTATTAAGTGCTAGGATTAAAGCTTGAAAAGTGTGTCTTCTTTAGAGGTGATTATTATCTCCTCTTAAGTCAACGTACTTTTGGGACAGCATTGGAAAGGTCTGCAATAAAACGTTAGCAGTAGTTGACCAGTCTAAGTTGGCTTTCTTCCACTTCTTTAACAGGAATAATGACATTACAGATTGCATTAGCCTTTTTGGGATCTGGGGATATACCGAAATCAGAGAAAGTTTATAGCCATAATATAAAAGACTAACTTTGTTAAATTCACATTTAGAATTATTAAGCGTTGGATTATTTTTTAGTAGTCGCTGAAACACATTTTCTAGACACTTGTCATGTTCTACCTGAGTAAAACATATACAAATAAACAGTGGCGTAGCCAGCCCACAAGTTTTGGTCCTGCTATTTAAATTTTAGACCATTAACATTATTCATTTCTTTAGAAATCTGCTGTTTTTACAGTGAGTGAACACATAAAAATTAACATAGCAGGACCAAATATTCGAGCTAATTACGCCCCTGCAGATAAATCGTCGCTAATGTTCAGTACTCCATGCAAGCCTTCAATTACTCAATTACTTTTTTGATCATCTCATGAAATATTTTCGTAGCAGATTTTACGTCAAAAATAAATCTTTCGTAACGCCTTATACCAGCATGAGTGCCAAACGTTGTGATGTAACGAGACTCAGGAGCAAGTTCTAATTGACGGTAAGTTGGTTACCATGATTTACGTCTAAGGCCCTGTTTACATGAGACTGGAACGAAGTCAAACCAGAGTGAAAATCAACATTTGCTGCATGTTTACATGGGACCGGCACTCAGGGAAAATCTATATTCCCGTAATGCCTCCTTTGTAGGCTAGATTTACTCTTGCTGGCCATTTTAGTTTTATAATTTGCTATTGTGCACAATTCGCATTGCTGCCATTTCAGACCAATAAAAGTTTTTTAAATGTAGAGAACTTTTGAGACATCTCAGACGAAACAGTATAATTCAAAAGTTTGAGAATCAAAAGTTTTAATTCCTTTACTCTCACCTGCATGTGGTGCTATTCTAATTTTTGTCCCAGATTTCGTCTCTATGGTTTCAATAATTTTATGTTTCTTGCCAAGGACTATTCCAATATATTTCTCTTCAATTGAAACTGTAATTTTTGCTCGAGTCCTGTTGACAGGAGATGATTTTTTACTTCGAAACTGTTTCTAAAAAAAAGGTTTATAAATAATTAGCATTTTTAATACTGGCTCAACATGGAAAAAAGTGATTGTTTCAGTACAATGCTCAAAAATTTTAATTAATGACCTGACAATGTTATAATTGAATATCTTGTCTAAACTTGGACCATTATCCGCTTACTCTTGCTTACAACACAATCAATGGTATAAAATTTATTCACTGCTAACAATACTTACTCGCAATCCATTATCAATGTTTCTGCCTCTTTGCAAGCTTTCCTTGACCCACAAACAGTAAAACCTGATTGACTCCTTCTTCATATTGCTTTGAAGAAATTTGTGTTCTTGTTTTATTTTTATTTCTTGATATGTTGTCCTTTCTTTCCAATAACAAATCCCATGCACTTCATGGGTACAGGAACAAATAATTCTTCATTGCTTGACATGTCTCAAAGTTTCCAATAAATCTGGACAATATAGAAGATCATTCTTTAAAATAGAACCAAACACTATTTTAATACCTCAAAACTCGCTTGTGTTTGAATCATATTTGCATTTAATTTGCTTGACACAAGTTTCACTCAAATTGCATTATAGCATGATTTTAATGTAGGAAGCAAAATATTCTCAAAATATCACTGACTTACATATAACGCTTGGATTAAAATATATTAATTATACTCATTAGCCCATGACTTCATGTCTGCAGATTGAAAATCTGCTAGTGCATACATCTATATATATATATATATATGCCAGTGTTTATCAAAAACATCACGACTTTCAATTGTTGACGATAGTATATTGCTAGGGTAGTTAGCATGATAATTCATAAACTTAAAATAGATTGAACAAAAATACACACCACCCTAGCAAGAAAGCAACTATCGCTGATCTTACTTTATTATAGTGAACCATGCTACTAAAAGGTCTGAAAGTAATATTGATTGTGCGCCATACACAATAATAATAAATGAAAGATCTTTATTCCATTGGCAATAATTTTAAAACAAACAATCATGTGCAATAACATCGTATAACACTGAAAATTATACTTACACATTTATATGAATACCGACAATTCTAGGCAATGCACTCGGATTATAAGGGCAAAATAGAACAGTCTTATATACACATACTATTACCAGAATCGTTAGGATTGAAATGGTGTAAACGCGTTCAGTTCATACTGCTGAATACAAGCACCATGTTATTGTATTTATGAGCATGTTTTCTGGGAATGCTAAAACAATGCACACGTGACCCGTGATATTTTTGCATACAAAAGTGAAAGTTCTTCTGGTTGCGTTTCTTTGCTGTAGAAATAGAATCGAGAAAGGTTTGATGGCCATCAGTAAAACAATGATTGGGTTCAGGAATTGAGAGCAGGATTAGTATAGCCGAAATGAGAAAATTTGGACTTTAAATTTTTGGAGTTTAAAGTCTGCACGTAGACTAGAAATTGAAAAGTTGGAAGATATAAAACCCAGAATATAGGAAAAGCTGGAATCTAAGCAGTTGACTGAAAGGTTTTAGTTTTCCAACCATAATCGACGTAACCTACACGTTTAAGTTTTTTTTGACTCCTTAACATTTTTTGTGTAATTATGTAGGGTTTTTCCGATTTGCCAAATCCACCATATTTTACTAACGTTTACAAAATCTGCGTTTTATCTTTATCTGCAAAATTTTTGTTTTCGTCCTCATTTGAAAAAGCTGCTTCCACCGTTGGCTCCGTAATTCTTATTCCTGTTCTGCATTTTAAATTTATTCTTGGATAGCAATTGTTATACTATAGTTATTGTGTTTATAGCAGATTATTTATGACAAATTAAAGATATATATGGTACTTCCCTTCCCTTTCCGACCGTTTGTTATAAACATATGTTGTACTGCATATATATGGAATTTTAAAGAAATAATTCTAACTTTCTGATCGGCCACATAATAAAAAACAAAACAGTGGCTAAATGAGCCCCCCATATGTTTGTACGACATGTTTTAAAAGATAACATAAAATAATACATATTGCCACAGACCTTAATCAGTATATATATCATAATTTTCAATTTATTAAACTTATCATCTGATATACTGTAAGTCATTGCAAATTATTTTGCTTGTCGTTGGCTGGAATTAACAAAAGGCAATAGGGCCTCCAGTTTCATTCATTTTTTCTCAGAAAAAATGTATCCCTGATGGTGATTTTTGTGAATGACATGCTTTGAAGAAGTATTTGGGTGCATGATTTTGTGTATACAATGTATAACCCCTTAACTGTTTAAAATTTTAAAACTTTCTTGAAACGTAACTTATGGATACTCAAGGCACTACCTTCAATCTTTTAAATTATTTTCCGTCTTCTTCGTTTTTTGACATCTTATATCGTTTTTACCCCCTTCACGGTTTTCAGTCAAAGGTGATCTTTTATCAGTCGCACTAGCATATTGTACTGCAATGGACTATTTTACCCTTTTGTGCTATACAAACCCTCTTAAGTAAATGGCTTATAAAAGCTGACAACAACACAAACACTAGTATTTAATTCTGTTCTATATATTATTTATCACGAAAATGAGCAGATAGATTATTAAGACAATTATTGAATATTATCAGCTGAGTGTTAAGCGTTTAAATGCGTGAAACTGCTAAAAAATTGAAAATAAACCAAATTGCATATATTTTCATGAAACTGCGTTTTTTCATACTGAATCTATTAAAGCACATTCAAGAGAATGAAATAGACGATCAAATTAGGAATAAGTTCGGTTTCTTCTTTCGTACTATGTATTTCCACTTGCTGTTAATGTGTTTCCATCTGTTGTTGGCGATATCCCACCAATAGTTGGAGGCTCAGGCTGCAAGTCGGACGAAGTTGCAGGATACATGTTGCAAGAGGATTGTAGTTGTTTTTTTAAGGTATTCAAAACCCTTCGAATGCTAGACGATTGTGACAATTTTCTGAATGGTTCATCAAAACTAAAAAATTTCATATATCAAGATTTAACCATCACAAAGTGTAAGACAATGTGAAATATAAAGAATGCAAGCAAGTATAAAATTGTATTCTTTAAGGAAAACACGTAAAATACACTCCCAAAGTTGTCGAATACACATGACCAAGGCCACAGGGAGATTTATAATAGACTTATCTTAAGTAAAACCATGTAATCATCTATTTAAACGCCAAACCTATCATATTCCCTCAAGCAGTAACGTAACCAGCTCGATAATTGGGGGAGAAGTAAATTAATTATTATAACTATGAAATCAATTTTTTCTGCGGATTATAACATGCATTTATGAATATTTCCGAGCCCCTAATTATTGTGCAAGCTATAATGGTATCCTTGACTTCACATGACACGCAATATTCATCTATTCCTGACAGTAATGATATCACATGCAGTGACAAAGGAAGAATATATTCTTGTTACTAACCAAACGCGGACTAACTTATTGCAATCATTCTTATCGAATTTTACTAAAAGCTCCGTTTCATTAGCAGAACAGTAAATTGGCACACATTGAATTTCTGTCATTTGTGAAGCACAAGTATCTGAAAAAATCCTTCTTCCATCACTGTATCGGGCATAACGAATAGTTGTTAAAGCTGTTTGGACTTTTACGGACGCCTTTTGGTAGTCTTTAAAGAACTCTGGTGTCATCTAAAAAAAATAAAATTAATCATTGTTCGGGAATGAAATCTAGATTTTAAATTAAAAACATTTTAGCGTAATATTTAACCAATTTTTCTGCTAACACCAATCCATCACTGCCACAGAAAGCATATTTCCTCATTGATGCTAGTCAAAAATCCGTTGGGTCTTGCAGGGTTTAACAAGAATTTTAATTAAAGCATAAGAAAACTATTTGTAGAGGATCTTCCTCTAAATCTAATATGGAATGATAATCACAAGTCATATCAAATATCAAGAGATCACATTACACGAAATAAAACAAAGTAGAGAATAACTTGGGCGGATACAAACCCAACTAAATAACTCTCTAAAATTAGTAGTCAGAATTACAACTTTTCGAAATCACACCACCTGCTCAAACAATTAATTAATTATCAAACATCTTGATGCAACTCACTCTTAACGATTCAACACATTTCAAAATAAACATTTACTTTTATTATGATGTCATCTTTCTTGTAAAATAAATTAGAGCGTTTATATATGTGTGATGATGATATTGTAACAAATTTGAAATATCATGATAATTTTGTCTTCATTGTCAACTGAAATATTAAATAAAAGATGGGTAGCTAATGGAGGGGAGTACATTCCAAAAGCTGCGTGCACCCGATAATTTGAAATAATATAATAAGAAACAGATTTCGAAGTTTCTATGGCTATTTTGAATTCAATATTTAAATTACAACAAAAGACGCAACATCGAGTCTTCGACTATATTTCAAAGCCTTTATCAAACAATAGGTCTCATGTTTTACTTCAACATTGAATTTCAAGACTGCTATATTCTTTGGAATTTTTTTCTTTCTATTTGAAGTAAGCTTCGTTTTATACGTGCTCTTTTTTCAATTAACTAGGTGGAATTCTAAACTTTGGACCTCTGGACAAAACATCTATTTCAACCGCAGAAAGTTGATATGATGAAAGATTTGTTTCATGTGACGCAGCAGAATCAATGTGACCATATCTTTGGCGTATCACATTGATTCTGCTGCGTCACATGTAACAAATCTATCATCATATCAACTTTCTGCGGTTGAAATAGATGTTTTGTCCAGAGGTCCAAAGTTTGGAATTCTACCTAGTACATTGAAAAAAGATGACATATTTTCAGAGTTTGAAATATTTTATACGTGTCTTTGACAAAGCAGTTATGGTTAATAATAAATCAATTTTTACACATGAGAACTAAGCAAATGACGTAACAGACGAACAGAGATTACCCTTCCCTTCTGGAAACGGAACATTACCGATAATGCCTGAAACATGACGCAACAAGAAACGTTCACAATAGAGATGGTTAAAATCGGTTCAGGTATTACTAATGCTTATATCTATTATCTTCTTAAAACAATAAAAATTATCATATATGAAACGCTGTAGTAACTTAGCTAAATAAACAATACACATGTACATGCGTAGACGCACCTTGTACGCTGGCTGGGGACAAGCACCAACAACTGGTACAGTATTGGCGACACATTGACCGTTTGAAAGTCTTCCCTTTTTCAAATTTGTGCAAAAGTTGTTCCTTCTCAAACTATTTACGAGAACAGAAGGACAACGGGAGTAAACTTTGTTACATAGCCTGGTGACGTCGCCATAATCTCGACTGTAGTCTTTTTCAGAACATTTTGGTGTCACTTGTGAACATAAGGCTTTTCTCACAGCCTTTGTACATCTAAATGAAATGCCAAGTTGACCATAGAGATTTACTGCATGTGAAACGATAGCATTTTGCTCAGCGTAAATTTTGGCGATGTATGGATTTAATTTCCAGTTCAATCTACAAGGACTTGCACTTTGTACAGACACACATCCTTCTCTTTGAAAATACGTAAAGCTTTCCATCGGGTGCTTTTCGTTTTACGATGTTGCACAAGACGACATCAATAAGTAGCGACTGTAGAAGAAAAGCAGAGTTATCGCTTTAAGAGAATGCCCCATCTTTTCTTAGAGAATTGACGATTTGATAACAGATCTTGATAACAGGAATACTGAATGATTCCAGCCTAGCCAAAGCCTTTTATATTGTTTAATGAGGAAACTGGTGTTTAAACAGCTATTTAAATATGCCGTGTTTGCGTCAATTTATGTCAATGCTTGATACTTTACATCAATTTACACCTTTCTCAACAGGATATTTTGCGGATTATATATTTTAAAATGATATATAAGGGAGAGGAGTATAAAACGTCAAAGCCACAAAAGCTGGTTTCAAAAGTAGATCTGGGGAGAAATTTTGAAAAATTCCACGTGAAAGCAAAATAATTGCCTCCAACGTTCTTGTACACGCCTTCACACCCTTTTTTTGAATATATTTTTTTGAAAACCTCGTGATATTTGCAGTGTCAAAAGATTGAAGCCTTCGAATATTTTCCGGGAGGCTATTCCAAAGCAAGGCTCCAGTATAACGAAAGCTTCGTTTTAGGTAGTTTGTACGAGGCTTCGGTAAATTCAGCTTCATTTTCAGATAAAATCCATGAGTGTGATTGTGATCGAGCTTTTTGAATAAAAGCGTATGTGTTTTATAATGCTTGCCTTCTTTGCTTTGCTGCAAAATTTGATATTTATAATCCTGTGTATTTTCATGCAATAGACAAGAACATGTTACACAATTATCATGCACATTGCACAGTCTTTCCTCCTTCATTTGAAATTTACACAGCACGACCAAACGTGCTTGCGCCACTGTAGAACATAATAATTGGCAAAAATATTGTCGCAGCCGGTGAATAAAACGAGTTTTTTATAAAAATCAATGTAGTACAATTATAGAAAACAATGACATGGAATCATTGTGTTGATACGATTTCAATATAACAATGTGGTAAAACTGCGAACAGATTGCCAATAAAAACACCTTATTGTTAAGTCAACAGTTTATTTTAATCTAAGCATCAAATCAACCACATGCTGTTTTTTATTATTGACGCAGCAATTTTTCATTGCTATATTCAAAAAAGGAGACATTCAAAATTTACTCTTTTTCTTACTTTAAGATAAGTAACTTTGAGCACGCTACTAACACAAAACCTGATAAATTTATTTTCTTTAAATTAGAAATTGGTTACGCGTCGCATGTGAAAGTAATCAATTTAGAAAAACGCGATAGATTTGTATTAATTGGAAAATGGAGAATATTCCTGGCAATAGATCACAGTTACTATAGTTACAAAACTTAACTCAGAATGGAAATTTATGTAAGATTGAAATATGATGAAATATGATTGTGATTGAAATATGATGAAGTTATTTTGTGCACTTGGAGTTTATGATAGCGTTCAAAATGATGTGGCGGATTTGTTGTCAGTGTGTCTGAAAGATTCGAAAAACTTATTATTGGGTGGATTTTTGTGATGTGGTTATTCCATTCATCTTGAAATAATAAAGATAATAGAGAAATAATTTTGCAAAAATTATTCTGATGAAATATTGACATTGTGCTCGAATTTTTCTTTGATTTGAATTTGTAGTGCAAGAAAACATCACACAATACTGTGTTTAGTTACATAATGTTTCATCATTACACCAATCGTTTTTATCTATGAAATGTTCAACAAATGGTATTATGCAGTGCTGTATAGTGCTAATGTTTGCACTTTTATATTTGTCCGGTTCAAAAATCTACATTTGTCCTTTCGATTACACGTCATGCTGTCATTGAATATTTATATGTTTTCATCAAGCATTGAGAGATATGTTCGTGTTTTAATTGTTTCAAATTTTGACAATAATGACAGAAATAAGATGAGCGCACTAATGTTTATAGTCTTCCTGTTGATCAAGGTCAAGTGTAAGATATGGGAAGTAAAATATTTGCATGGGATGTAATTTTCTCGGTAAATTTGCACTAATAACATTACATGATAATATCTACATTTAGTTCCATGTAGTTACTTAGCCAGCCCATTCATATAAAAATAATGATAATGTTCTAAAATCAACATAGCAGAACTGAACTTGATAAGGTTGCTCAACTTGTTTACTTGTCGCCTGCAAATCTCATGTATACCTATAAAATGTTTAACGAAGGACAAGCTACGTTTTGTTTAGTATCGAAAAGACATTTTATGCGGTAGATTATACAGTCAAGCAAAAGCAACCAGAAAGCGGCTGCTTCTGTAGAAGAATAAGATAAGTTCATAGAGTGCAAAATCAATGTCACTTATAGCTACAATCATGATCATAAAGGTAAAACCAGCTAATTTTTTGGGGCTTGCTGCTGTAAAAATACTTTTTCCCACAAACAAAAAAGTTTCTTGTTTGCGCAAAACATCAATAATTTAGAATGTGAAGCAATTTAAGATTATATTTTATCGTCTGACAAGCAAACTTTCAGTTGTTTGGACTAAATTGAAGATTATTTATGTAAGGAATCCCATGCGAATGAGGTAATTTCAGTTCGCTGTTGTACCTAATTTGAAACAGGAGGGGACGTGTAGACTTAGTGATTGTATGGAGATGTTCTAGGAGAAAAAATTCTCCAGTTTGGGTCGAGGTAATCAATTCTTGGGGTTGACTAGGACTCATTTAATTGCGATAAAGATTGTCATTTGATATTTTAAGTGCTTTTTCTACAACTGTGTCTAGAAAAATTGTTTTCAATGCTGGCGAACGTTTTCCAAACGTTGTTCACAAATCTCGAATTCTCGATCACAGAAACGTAGTACAATAAAGATGAAGAACTGTAATGCAGGTTTCTATGTGTGATAAGCATGTGCATTACCAATGCAGAAAAGTGAAAACAATACGTGTCATCTTTGTAATGCCGTTTCCACCAATAAAGTGCCCTAAAAGTTTATATATAGCCTCAAACTAAATATTTTAATGTAATTCCTAGTTCCTGTATGCCCCTGTATACGTCGATGTTTGATGTACACAGATGTTTTCAAAAATAAGATAAACCCACTGATAATTACTTCCGCAGCTTGTCAAGGTCAAATGTAAAGACTACGGCGAGCCATAGCTTAAAATTATTTATGAAGAATTTATACTATTTTCCTGAAGCTCAAATTTATAATATTGCTTTAAATTTAGTTATTTTTACATTGAAAGAACTTCACTATTTCAAAATAACTTTGTAGAGACTTGTATTATTTGGAAAATGGATTTTGGCATTGAATTGTACTATTATGCAACTTAACCAGAACGGAGTTTTGAGCTTATCAAAGTTACTTCAAGGTCTCCTGACACATGTTTTCTAAAACTTGTCTTCAATCTTCGTCAAACCATACAAATGTCAAAAATTGCAAAATTGCTTCCTCATAGAAACGAATTACTTCCCTATCATGTCGCATGGGAAGTAATTTTTGTTCGAGGAAGCAATTTTGTATAATTGACTTTGTCATATTCGTTCATTATTGTTGATCACATACTTTTCTGTAGCTATCTCAAGAAAAATTTCACTTCCTTTCACTTCAAACAGAAAAATTTTAAACAATGCCATGTGATATGTACTTTGTTGAAACTTCCTTTGCAAATATTGCAAAAGAAATTACAACCATACTATATTGCTACTTTTTAGATTGCAATGCTGTGAATTTCGTTGTGCTGTTTGGCGACAATTATAATATGCAAAGAGAACAAAACACTGTTCTTGATTGTTATATTATTATCAATATTAGAAATTTAATCACTCAGACATGCACAAGAATTCAAATACTATAATTAAAGCCACATGTACAAAGTCTATCATTAGACATTATTTTTTCAATCACCTTAAAAATGATGAACGCTAGTCTAATTTTGTTTTATTATGTTGTTTCTAGTATATGATTAAATGTCTAAAATGTTCTTCATTTTTCAAATATTACAAATCTATTGAGTTATTTTGAAATAGGAAGTCACTTTAATAATGTTGCCATTTTAGCCCCGTGTTTACATTGACAAGCTGAGGAAGTATTAGTGTTTATCTTACCGACGTATGAAAACATTTTGTTCTAAATCACTTCATCGATCATCCTTCTGTTTCTACCTGGGTTATTTTTTGTTACGTGGTTACTGGTTAGTGAAATAAAGAACATTGACTTGCACTTCTAGTTCATAAAAATGTTTAGGAAGGCGAAACCATTATATAATACGAGGGCGACTTACCCGAAAAATCTCGTGCACTATCATAAAAATCTCTCCAAAATTTTTGAAAATTCTAGAAGCTAAAATAAATGAATCCTTGTTTTGCAAGCCTTTAGGCACTCGCTGTGTTGTAATTAAAATGTATGACTTAAGTGACGTAAACATGACATTCTTTCAAATATCAGCTTCCTTAGTAGACAATAAAAAGGATTTTGGCTTGGTTGGGATTATTTAGTTCTGTTTTAGGATTCCTGCAATCAACATATGCGAGCAACTTTTCCGAATTGTTTGAAAATGGGACATTCTCTTAAAGAAATAATTTTGCTTTTCGTCTACTGTCACTGCTTATTGATGTCTTCTTGTGCAACATCGTAAAACGAAAAGCACCAGATGGAAAGCTTAACATATTTTCAAAAAGAGAGGGATGTGTGTCAGTACAAAGTGCAAGTCCTTGTAGATTGAACTGGAAATTAAATCCATACATCGCCAGTTTATACAAAGCAAAATGCTATCATTTTACGTGCAGTAAATCTCTATGGTCAACTTGGCATTTCACTTAAATGTACAAATGCTGTAAAAGAAGCCTTATGCTCACAAGTGACACCAAAATGTTCTGAGAAGGACTACAGTCGAGATTATGGTGACGTCACCAGGCTGTGTAACAACATTTACTCTCGTTGTCCTTCCACTGTCGTAAGTAGTTTAAAGAAAAACAACTTTTGCAGGAATTTGAAAAAGGGCAGACGCTCAAACGGTCAATGTGTAGCCAATACTGCAGCTGTTGGTGGTGCTTGTCCGCAGCCAACGTACAAGGTGTGTCTTCAAATATTTAACTGCATGTATATTGATGAATGAGCTAGGTTATTATATTTTGATTAATTTTTGCAAGTTGCAGATTATAGAAATGAGTATTAGAAAATCATAAATCTATATTGAAATGTTTTTATGGGAAACAGTTTAACATAACTCTTTGTCAAAT